ACTCTCAAACAGAAGAAGACCCAAGAATATTGAACGACTTAAATATAATCCTGACTGTGCAATCTCCCAGATAATACCAACAAAAAGGAAGCGCTCAGAGGTGTCCTGAAAGGAAGTAGTGTTCAGAGGGGCTTGTACAAAAGGCAGAAAGGACATATGCTAAAGACAAATAAAAGTGCACTTGCATGACCAGTGTCAGGAAGGGGACATCCCAAACTAAAGGAGGACAATGCTGAGGACAACACAAAGCCACACACACACACGAATTGTGTTCTTAATAAGAAAATCAGAGAAAAAATGGCCTTGATTCCACTGATGCCTCTGACAGGTACAAAAAATTTAGGACAGTAGTCGTCCAAAGTGTTCACTGTAAATGAATTTTAATGAATCAGAAAAATCAAATGAGTTGCTAGAAAACTGGAAATTAACCATGTTCTTCTTGATTTTCAAAATGGCAAAAGTTTGATAGGTTCAATAAATTTTAGTCTATTGAGTTTGGGGCCCACTCTGTGATGGTTTGTCAGAAACTAGGAGACAAAGTAGGGCTCTGTGTCCTTAAGGAGTGAGTGCACATCAGATTGGCCTTTTTGGTTTGGCCGGGAATGTGTCTTGTGGTAGACCAGGTAAATCCACACATCAGTGAAAAGTTGCAAGAACATTGCTTGGGATAATCTTTTAGAAAAGATGGAGGAATATAAGATAAATATGCTGAAATAGGCATATTGGTGCCTGAGTTTAGGGTTTGGGTATGCATTGTCATGGGTAAGTGTGATGTGTGCCATGTCTCCTGTGCACAGGTGCTGACACATTGGCTGTTTGGGGAAGGGGACTCGGTGTGTGTGGCATGTGGAGAGGTATATGTGGAGAGGGGATGTGTCCATGCGTGTGCCCCTGGTGTGCACCCATCTCTGCTATTGCTTCTGCTTGTATGAAGGGTTTCTTCTAGACCCTTATCTAGAAGAAATGCCTCGGCATTACCACAACAGTATGGCACAAAGGAGCTGTTGGGGATTTGTCCGAACTTCAAGACAGGCCCCTGGTTGGGGCAGGCCTGAAGAAAAATGCCATGTCTTTGGTTCTGGTGAGGAAGTAGAGGGCCATCAACAGTGACCACTGGGTGCCACCTGCCTCCCGCCCCATGCACACTTCCTCTGTGCCATTCACTTAAGGAGTTGTGCATCTGAGAGCTGTCTCACCTGGAGTGCTTGTCTCTTCTTTCTTTTCCTTCCTACAGTCAGTTCTAAATGTGATCAGTGAGCTGCAGGAGCAGATGTGTAGGCTGCAGCTGGACATCCACAGGCAGATCCAGGAGCGCCTGTTGCTCAGTAGGGACCACCCTGAGGAGGTGGCGGCCAGCGACGATGTGGCCGAGCCCCACCCCTGCAGCCAGGACTGTGCCTGTCGGGAGGGGTCACCTGTAGGAACCACACTTAAGTATATCAGAGCATGCGTGTGTGGGACATTTCACTGGTGGAGGGGCTGGGGTTTCTCCTAACCAGAACAGAGTGCAGTGGCTTGGCATGGACCTGTTGTTACCTCTGGGCAGAGCTTGGACTGACTCACTCCTACTGGGATGTGAGGTGAGCTCAGTGACCCTCACTGAGCAGGGTCTGAGCAGGTGAGGCCAACCCTCAAGCAGGTGACACTCATCTCCCTTAGGGTTGGAAATGAGGTACACCAGGTGCTCTGAGTGATGGGGCGTTTGTGCAACAGGGAGCCTCATGATTCCCCTTCCCAGATATATGACTCAGATACTGACACTTCCTCCAAGGCTGGGAGATTAAATAAAGTTTTGTTTCACATGATTCTTTTTTTTTTGAGAAGAAAAGTATCATGAAAAAGAATCCTTTCAAGTTTATGTTCAAAAACAAAATACAAGTTTCCATGTGCTGTGAATAATTAAGTCATCATCTGAATTTCCAGGAAAAATATCCCCCCACATAATCACATCTGGGTGATTTTATAGCCACTGGGCCATGCAGGGGGATACCTGACTGGGATTCTGGACTTGGCTCTCCACATGGGGGTGACCTGGTTCTCTGTGACTTTGCTGATGGCAGGTGATGACAGCTTCAGCAGAGACAAGCCTATACCTCCAAGGGGGCCTACTGTTGAAGAGGACTTGGAAGCCCCTCAAGAAAAGACTGAGGTTACAGCAGCCATGAGTACTACAGAGGATACCCTGGCTCTGTAGGAAGTTACTATGGTCCATACTCAATTAGGGAACCTGTTGAGAATCTAGACATAGGCATTGGGGGAGGGAGTCCATGGGAAAGATTTCCTGCTGCATTAAAGGACAGGGGGAAAATGTGAAAGTCAAGATGTAAATGTAGATTTGGATAGAGAAGCCTGGAGGAGGTGTTGGAGCATGACCCAGGTTGAGTAGGTTTCTCCAGCAAGACTTCTAAAGGAAGGTAAAATTGTGTACTAGTGTTGGTAGTCAATGATGGACAAGAAGTAACATGGAAGGAAGAGGATGTTCCAGAGGTCACAGAGCCTGGAGAGGATGATCTCTGTGTACCCATAGTAGCAGCCCCTCAGGCAGTAGGAACCTGCACACTTCTGATTCTGATATCAGCTTGCCTGACACCCTCTCCAACAAACTGAGTAGCGTGGCTAGGATACAAAGCTGAGCAGAAGAACGCCCAACTTGTGGGCATTGGAACCTCTCAGGCAGGGCCAGTAATATTCTCAGAGAATGATTCTGGGTCTGCTGCAAGTCAAAGCAGTAACTGAGGCCTTGACATCCTGTGATGCAGATCATGGATGCGATTTTCTTTTTCTTTTCCTTAGCTGGGATTACAGACACCCATCACTACACTCAGCTAATTTTTTGTATTTGTAGTAGAGATGGGTTTCACCATATTGGCCAGGTTGGCCTCAAATTCCTGATCTCAAGTGATTCACCCACCTCGGCCTCCCGAAGAGCTGGGATTACAGGTGTGAGCCACTGCGCCTGGCCAGAAGTTTTTGTTTGTTTGTTTGTTCGTTGGTTGGTTGGTTTTTAACGGGCACCAGCAAATGCTCACCTCAGCTATAAGGCAGTCTTAATAAATGACCTTACAAAACTCAAGGCCAGTTAAATAATGACTTGAGTTTCATGTGTGCATTCATTGACAAATAGTAAACACCTACTATGTGCCAGGCACTGCAGAATAATCAGAGGTTAGCAAATGCCTCATGGAGTTTGCGATTTAGGCGGAGAGCTAGCCATTAGCCATCATACAAATAAACATTGAATTGCAAATTACGAGGAGGTACACAGGGTACAACAAGAGAATATAACAGAGGGGCCCGATATAGTGTGGAGGTCGGGATAGCTTAACTCAGGGAGACCTGATGGATAGGCAGGAGTTAACCTGGCAGAAAAGTCCAGACAGAGGGAATGTTGACTGCAAAGACCTAAGTTGAAGAGAGGAACTGATGAAATTATCCATGTGGCTAGAGCATAACTAGGGAGAAAGAGTGATCCAAGAGGCAGGCAGGGAGCTGAGTCAGGTCATGGGTTGAAGTTTATGATCTTTGAGAAGCATGGAGTGCCATGATCTGATGATGTATGGTTTGTTCATATCATTCCCCCAGATGCCGCGGGGTCAATTGCTTTGAGAGGAACAAGACAACAGAGGAGTAACCAATGAATTGACTGTCCAGGCTATAAATGCTAATTGCTAGACCAGAGTGGTGGTGGCTGAGTGGGAAAGAAATGAGACATTCAAGTTGTTTTTCTGGGAGTAGAATTAATAAAACTTGGGAGGAAATTGCATACATAGGGGAGGAGGGGGAGGGAGATGCTTAGGATAGATCCTGTGTTTCTGGATAGGCTGTTAGGTAGACAGATATGGCATTTAGTGAGGAGAGTGACTAGGAGGGGAGTTGAGGGTTCCACTTGGCACATGACAGTCGGGAGGTGGCTGTGCAGCATCCATGTGATGGTAAGTAGGAAGTTTATTGTGTGAGACTGTAGTTCAGAAAGCCTATGGAAATGATTATCTTTATGCCAATTCTTCTGATGGGAGCTAGTTAGCAGGACCAATGGTCTGTTAAGGAAATATTGGTTCAAGATAACAGTGCTTAGTGGTGTCGTCTTTATCGAAGGGGTAGTTTCACAAACAAGGGTCCTAGAGTCAGAATATATGGGCTTAAACTCCAGCTCCACCACTTACTAGCTACATGAGTAAGAGACAATTGTTTGTGTCACTTCCCCACTCAGCAACCTTCAATGACTCTCTACTGTCCAAAAAATGGCATTGGAACTCATCATACATATTCTCATCCTCGAGCCTTTATGTTAAGGTCCCACCTTAACTTCCCAGCCTCATCTTCCACTGTGTGCCTACACCCATCCTCAGCTCCAGCCCCATAAGTTACCTCCCTTTCTGCCTCCTATCTTTACACCCCTCCCCCCCCGGATGCCTTCTCCCTCCCTTCTTTCTTCAAACCAACCTCTTCCTCTGAACTGGAGCACACATTATGGCATCCGTATTTGGCACTTAACATTTGTTCCCTTAGGGTTTCATTTTTTCCTCTATGAGGCCTTCTAGGATCACAGACCCCCTCTTCTGGCTTCCTTCACTCCCAGCACAAAGAGATGGTCCCAATTAGCCTGCTTCCTACTACTTTGCATCGCAGGGAAGAAGCTTCCTCATTTCAGCATCTCTGTTCTTCCCACTCCAAAGCCTCACCTGCCTGGTTCCCTATACTCACGTGTGTGATGCTGGAGTACCCTGCAGAGGACACAGCTGTCAGAGAAAGAGGCAGGCAGAACAGGTTCTAAAACTAAATGGAAAGGTTTCACTTTCTTATGTCTGGAGCTCCCTGGTCTTTGTTTTTTAAAGGCCATACAGCTTTCCTAAAACAAGGGCCATGTTTAAAGATGAAAGCTGCTAAGTGGAGCTTGATGTGGTTGCTGCATCCTCTATGCATGAGCTTAACCAGGTTGGTAAATCGAGAGCACAACCTTTTAACCATCAGAACTTCATCTTTCTCCCTCATCCATCTAGGAGTTACTACAAGAGCTCAGGCACCTCAAAATCAAAGTGGAAGAGTTAGAAAATGAACGGAATCAGTACGAATGGAAGCTAAAGGCCACTAAGGTAAACGGCACTCCTGATGCTTATGGAGAGGCTATGAGGTCCTTGTGGGGAGGGTCTGCATTCCACCTTGGGGGCTTCCAGTACCTTGAGTTTGAAAATGCAAATCAACCCTCCAATGTGGACATGCAAGAGTGCCCAGATTGTGCAGGAGACTGACTTGATCAAGGAAAGCTCCTCATGGGGAAAGCCCGTGAGGTTATGAACTGCAGAAGTGTAGTAACCCAGTCTGCTTCCTCTCCCTGCACGGCATAGCACCTGGCTGAAGCTGGGCCAAGAAGAGGGTAGGAGCGGGAGAGCAAGTGAGTGGCAGGGCAGTGAGTCGTGAGTCCTGAAGCAGATGTTGGATGCATCATTTTAAATTCAGTAGTCCCTTCTAGAATCAGTTTTTCAAAAATTGGCATGCTTTATTTTTGGCACAAAATATATTCCTAAAAATGACATAAACTTTGAATTATTTCTTCAATCAAATCATGTTTCTCTTAAACTGGGGAGCTTGCAATTTAAAGGACACCAAGAATAAATTCTATTATGAAATAAACTCCTTCCCTCCCTCCTTTGTTTCTTCCTTTTTTTCCTATGCTAGTTAAAGTACGGAGATCAAAACTAGTGGGTTACATTCAGCCCGTGAATTTTTTTTGGCCCGCACAAAAAAAATGTTGGATTTTTAAATGTTGAATTGTCTTTTAAACTTCAGGAAGTTTACATTAGGCTACGGTTAGGTTTCCTTTGAGGGTATGGGAAGGTGGGAGACTCATATCTACCTTCCCCTACTGTGTCTGCAGTGCCACCAAAGGGCATTACGGGATCGTTTTTACTCTAGTTTTTTAACTTCTAGTTTGTATTTTTATTTTTTCTGCAAGTTAATTGCTAATGATTATAAAAACAATAACACTCATTATAGAAAATTTTTAAACCATAAAAAAAATTAAAGGAATAAAAAGCACCATACCATCCAGGCACTACCATTGCTAATATTTCCTTCCAGATATTGTTCTCTTTTGTTTTAGATCTGTGTTAGGCCATTCTTGCATTGCTATGAGTAAATATCTTAGACTAGGTAATTTATGAAGAAGAGGTTTAATTGGCTCAGGATTTTGCAGGTTTTACAGGAAGCATGCTCTCATCTGCTCAGCTTCTGGTGAAGCCTCAGGGAGTTTTCAATCATGGCAGAAAGCAAAGCGGGAGAAAGTGAGCGAGAGAGGAGAGGCGGTGCCGCAGACTTATGAAGAACCGGGTCTTGTGAGAACTCACAATTGCGAGGACAGCACCAAGAGGGTGGTGCCACCATTCGTGAGAAATCTATCCCCATGAGCCATTCACCTCCCACCAGGGCCCACCTCCGATATTGGGGATTACAATTCAACATAAGATTTGGCGGGAACAGATATTCAAACATCAGGGTCTCTCTATCTCAGTGTTTCTGTCTCTCTTAATTGTTAATGTTGATAATTTGTATGCAATTTTATATCATGCTTTTATCATTTAAAATTTTATGACTTCCCATGTTATCAAAAGAAAGCAACAAACATGATGTTAATATTTATTTAATAATCTAGTGTATAATCGTAAAATAATTTGATTAACCATTTTACAGATAATGAATCGGATGCACAGAGAGATTAACTAACTTTCCGAAGATTTCACCGCTATTTGGTACCAAGCCTGGGCAATGAGACCCATCTGTGTCCTGGCCTGTGTGTGTCTGAATGTAGTTTTTCATGTGTATGCTTCACAGGCACCAGCTCTAGGGGCATTGGTTTGGTCCAGTAACTCAGAACCTTCCATCATAACACCCCACTCAAACAAGCCCTGTCTTGGTGAAACCTTTGAAGTTGTACATACCATTCTCTGTGATAAAACCAAATAACACTTTCCTTTTTAAATTACCCAAGCTCTTTGCCTTGGCATGTAGACCTTTGAGATGCTAAGGTTGTTATTTAATAACTACCAAGCGTGGAACACTTCCTATGTGCCAGAATGTACCAAGCTATTTGCACACATTTTATTATATAATTCATAAAATCACCCAGTGAGGTATATGTTTTATTTTATTTTATTTTTTTACACTTAAAAGTATAGTATTTATTTCTCTGTCCCTCCCCTGCTATGTAGAGCCAGCCCCATTACATTATATTCATTTTGGTGAAATATACATAACTAACATAAAACCTTCCACTTTAAACATTTTTAAGTGTATAATACAGTGGTGCTAAGTACATTCACATTGTTTTCCAACCATCCACCACCATTCATCTCCAGAGATTTTTCAGCTTTCCAAACAGAAACTCTAGACCCATTAAGGAAAAACTCCCTATTCTCTCTACCCTCTGCCTGGGAACCTTTACTGTAATTTTTGTCTGTGGTACTTCATATAAGTGGAATCATAGGACATGTATTTGTTTTTCTTTTTGTATCTGGCTTATTTCACATAGAAAATTAATATTATAGAAGACTTTTGAAATTAATTTTTGATTAACAATTGCAACCTATTAAGACTTATTAAAAAGTAATACAAGCTAGGCATGGCGGCACATGCCTATAGTTTGGTTACTTGGGAGGATAAGAAGGGAGGATCACTTGAACCCAGGATTTCAAGGCCAGCCTTGGCAACACAGTGAGACCCTGCCTCTCAAAGAATAGATAAATAAAAACAAAACACCAAAAGTTATACCAAATCTATTTCTCAAAAGCAAATAATAAAATGACTCTTAATAAGCTCTGAATAGAAGAATTATTTACATGATAGGTGATATTTACCAGATCTCTACAGGAATAATCAGTCTTTATAGTGAAACATTACATGCATTTTCATTACAGTCTGAAAACAAGGCTGGGCATTCTTTAAATTTTAATAATTAGTATTATCCTGGAGGTTCTAAGCAATGCATTAAGATAAGAATAAAACTAAGCATATCAAAATTATTATTAAAGTGAATGGGAAGAGATGTAGTGGCTTGCTCATGTAATCCCAGAACATTTGAAGGCCAGGGTGGGAGGATCACTGGAGGCTGGGAGTTCAAGACCAGCCTGGACAACACAGTGAGATCCCATCTCTAAAAAAGTCAAAATAAACATTAGCCAGTCATGGACTTGTAGCTGTAGTCTCATCAAAACATTTAAAACTGAGAAATATTATGGATAAAATGAAGTAATAATGTCTAGGATTTCTTTTGAAATAATCCAAAGGGGATAATGTCATGGTGATCGGTAGATATAAAACAAGATTAGGCATATATTGCAAAACTGAAGCTGATTTGTGCATGTTGCATGTGTGTTTCTTTATTAGTAAATCTGAGATTTCTTTTTTACATTTATATTGACTGTATTCCTTCTGTGGACTGTCTATTCCTGTATTTGGCCTGCATTTCTAATGGGTTGTCTTTTTAAAAAAATTTTAGATATTATGTTTCAGTCTGTTACCCAGACTGGAATCAAACTCCTGGGCTAAAGCAATCCTGTCCTCTTGGCCTCCCAAGTAGCTGAGACTACAGCTACAAGTCTATGTTTTTTTAATTCTCACTTTACTGGGAAGGAAACTTGGCTCAGAGTGGCCAAGCTGAGGCTCACATCTGGGTCTTTGTTGTTCTCGTTATACTGCTTCCTACATTATCCTGATTCCTCGCAGAGAAAACCAGCACTGTTTTTGGAAGTTCTTCCCTTTTCTTCTTAAGGCTTCTCAGTCCCTGAAGGGGATTCATCTGCCAGTTCAGTGGCAGTAGGGTATGGTCCCTGGGTTTAATGAGGCACAGCACTTGCAGGGACCCAGAGCACCCATCTCTGCCTGAATGCCTGTCTGCATAGCTCTCTCAGACCTTTTGCCACACAGCTGCAGCCATGGTGACTGTGGCCATAGGAACAGTGGCAGTAGCATACACAGTCAGGGAGAAGGTCTTTGGACTGTTCTTGGCCTTCCTAACTGTGGAGACAGAGATTACTCTAAGGATAACAGAACACATATTGTTTCTGGCGTATCCTTGTGGAAACTGGTACAAGGCAGGTTGGGCCCAGTCACTTGGTCTGTAGGGTCCACAGTTTATACCTACAAGACCTCCCCTAGAGGCGGGCCTCAGGAAGAAGAGTCCTCATCATGCCAGGTGCTAGATTCCATCTTGATAGGTCTACATTGCTGAAGTCCCGGTTGTGGGGTCAACAGACAAGCACCAGGTATCCAGATTTCTAATGAAGATCAGCACCCATCCTGTCCACAAAGAAAGGGAGAACTGGACGTGGAGAGGTGCAAGAAAATAACGATAAAGGAATATCTTTCAAGAATCATCTGACCTCTGTAGAAATGGAGGTTGACAGTCCGAAAGCTCATATCTTCAGAAGCCACTGTCACCATGAGTCATAAGCCCATGGGCATCTTGGCCCTGTGTGAGCTCTGAAAAACTGCACCGTAGCTGCGTGTCTCAGCCTGCAGGTTGCACAGCAGGACCCAGCTCTTGGCCTCTGTGAGTGGAGCCCAGAGCAGAGGGGCAGTGCTTCATCATGAACTTTGGAATAAGGAAACCCTACCCCTTGTCACTCTTGATATGGTCATCCCTGTCCCATTTGGGGGATGCTAAGGAAGATTACTTAGAAACCCTTGAGGTGGGCTCAGGGAGCCCAAGCCTTGTCAGAGTGGCCCTCATCTGCCTGTTAACTCAGAAGCAGACACACTGTGGAGGGTGGAGCTCTGATACTGGAGCAGGCAGGCCAGGGTTTGCATCCTGGCCTGATCACCAAGTAGCTCTGTGACTGACACTGAACCTTATCCTACTCCTGTTTTCTCTGGTGACTTACAGAGATACTGTTTCCTCCCGTGGTATCTTGAAAGGATTTGATGTAAGAAAGCAATGATTGCAGGGGCTGATCAGGGTGGGTGCTCAGTCCATGTGCTGAAACAGAATACACGGTCTGTCCAGCAACAGAGTTGCCAACAGGGCCAGTGCTCATTTAATTACTTGGGGTTGTTCAAATATTAACTTGGACCTTTGTGGAATTGGACAGCCCATACTGTCACCTTGAGGACCAAAGGTGGGACATGATTGAACCAGCACATGGGGAAGGGGTAGCCAGAGGAGAAGGCTTTGCTGTCTTTTATTGACCAGCTCCGTAGTCAGTGCTCACCCTTTTTCTTAGCTGGTTTGATGCTGAGATAATTGAACCGATTATCCACAAAGAAAATAATAGGATGGAAGGAGCAAATAGCAGTAGCATTTACTGAGCACTTAGTATATACTGAGTATTGGGCTAGGTTGTTCATAACCATTATCTTAAACCTCATTGCAGTCCCATGAAGTAGGTGTTGTTTTTCCCATTTTATAGATGAGCTGAGACACAGAAAGGTTAACTTACTTGCCCAAGGTCACCCAACTAGGAAATGAGAGAGTCAAGGTTTGTTTGACTCTAAAATTCAGGTACCTCTTGTGATAGGACCTATACAATTCTGATCTCCTAATGAGTATGGGAAAGCATGAACAACCACATCTAGTGTTGTGTGAAATTTAACCTGTACTACTTAGTAGAGACATGGGAACTATAGCACAGCCGCCTGTGTGTGCAAATATGAATGTATGTGTGTACTTATTAGCTGTGTATACATGCCTTTTTTACCCCCTAAAGTATATATGTTAAGCACTCCTGAATGCTTGTACATCTATATATGAGTGAGTGCGTACACATGCCTGGAGGTTGGGCAGAGGCAGTGATTGTGCCCAAAGGGTAGGAGTGTTTTGAGGGAGGGAGCCCTTGGCTTACCTTTTCTCTACCAGTGGTGATTTGGCTTCCGCTGTATTTTCTGTGTGGGTTTGAAAGATGAAAGCTGCATGCATTTGTTACAGTGGTGTCTCTAAATGGTATTGCATGAGTATCTTGGGAGAAGGAAGACCATGTCCAGAAAGACAGCATCCTCCTCTGCCAAGAACAGCCCTCCCATTGCACACAGTCCCAACTCCTCATCACAATCCCAGTACTCACAGGACAGGAGAGAGAGAGAGCCTGGTCAGATAGGAAGATGCAGGAGAAGAAGCACATGGATGGCCAGAGCTGTTGGGGGAGCCAGGTTGGCCTAGAAGAGGGAATTCAGTCAGCAGAGTTCCACCTGTGGGGAGGGCAATGAGCCCCTGCTACTGTTCACCGCTTCTCCCAACTCCTGACATGCCCTGGGGCCTGATAGGCTCTGGACTCTGATGGGAGGCACTTTGTCATGATTTTGGCAGTCCTTCTGACCTAGTAGGGATCCTCTGTTGCTCTTCCAGGCTGAGGTAGCCCAGCTGCAAGAACAGGTGGCCCTGAAAGATGCAGAAATTGAGCGTCTGCACAGCCAGCTCTCCCGGACAGCAGCTCTCCATGGTGACCACACAGATAGAGGTGACTAGCCTGACCGTGACAAAATGCAGTTTTCTGGGTCTCTAGGCCTACTCTTATAAGTGAGCATGTGTTTCTATAAATGAGTGTGCATATGCATGTGTGTGTAGCCATGCTAATGTGCATGCATGTATGTGTGCAAGGATGTCTAAGTGAATGGATGCACCTGTCTGTGTGTTTGTGTATATGTGCCTATAATGCAGTGCTATTGTGGAGTCATTTCCATGGAACTCTGCCCTAACTGGAAGGCTTTTCTCAGATGCAGAGAAGGTTTGTGCAGCCACCTCTGGAGCTTTTGCTGAAAATGTAGGAAATACCTAACTCTTTCATTTGATTGAAAGGCCTTGTTTTTGTCTTGTCACCAAAGGGGAGGCTTTAGCAATTTACTGTCACTTTCATGGATACCTGCCTGATGCTTGTATAAGGCCCTGAGGTTATAGAAACAAGTCTGTTCATTCTTGAGATTTCAAATGCTACCTCTCAGAAAGGCCTTTCCTGGCCACCCTAACTCAAATAGGTGCCCTCAGTCCTATTATTCTCTAACTCGGCATCCTTCCTTTTTCCCGCACAGCACTTATTATAACTCAACAGCGTTACATGTCATCCCCACTTGGGCAGGGACTGTATTTTTCTTAACAGCATATCCAAAAAGCCCATCACAATGTTTGGCCCATTGTAGGATCCAAAGAAATACTTCTCAAATAAGTGAAAGGATGGTGAATGGCCCCTGAGGAGTTCAAGTCTTGGCGATCAAAAATGGAAGATAAATCCTCAACTACTCTTACGAACACATAAATCTTTATAGCTGTCTGCCATGTATACAAAATGATCACACACCTTTCAACTTCTCCACTCACAGACAGGCTGCAGAGCAATGCTGAAGATCAAATACTCCTATGGATTGGTGCCACTACCTAGTCACATCCTGGCCTCAGCACTGCTTAGCTTGGATCCCCAGCTGGGGTGTGGAAGCCATGCAACAGTGGCTTAGGCTGGAGAAGGAAATTAGTGATCAACATGCTCACCCCTCGCCTGGCTTTTGTCAGTGTCCACCCAAGCCATTGGGTGTGTTGCCTTCCTCCCAAGGCCTACTTGTAGAGGCTGAGTTCTACTAAGACACCCCAAACTATCTCTGATGATGAGCCTGGACAGAGAGTGTCCCATGCCGTGACTTCCAGGCCAGACAGCCTTCCCTGTCTACCCCTTACCTCCCCACAACCTAAGCCTCCCAGGCCCTACCCTACTCCATTACTGGGTACTTTCTAGAGCTGGTCCTCTGGTCATTTGCTGCTGAAGTTAAGTTCTGACCAGTGGACCAAGGTTTGCCAGTCTTTTTCTGGAACTTACTGCTCTCCCCAGCAAAGTGAGCTGCAGAGCTGATGTTAGCTACCAGGACCCTAAATAATGAGCAAGGATTCCCCACTTTATTCTGAAAATGAATCTCCACAACTGTTTACACAAAGTCTGTAGATCTACTGATGCTAATCTTTTTAGATGTAACAAGCATCCCAAAAGAAAATGGGAGGCTTGTATATTTGTTCCCTTGACATCTGCACTTTTTTTTTTTAATGGATATCCCTATTCCCATTTTGGAAAATGTATAGATCCTCCTTTGAACATCATTCTAGCTATGTGCCAGTTTCTAGAGTATCTGGCAAATGACCTCCAGCTTCCTTAGGCTCTCTAGAACAGTTAAGGAAGAAATCAACAGAGTCCCTCTTGGGCCCAAACTGAGAGAAGGCCACGGGTTTTCCGTGACAGAACAATAGAGATTTCTCAGCTCATAGGGAAAGTCTGGTTTACGATGAAATAAGATTGTTTATCCTTAACCCAGCATTTGTTTATATATGTATGTGTACACACACACACACACACAAACACATATGTATATATTATATATATATATATATACACACATATAGATATGTGTGTACACATATATATACATATATCAATATATCTAAACATTTGTTAGTCAATTTTGACTATATCCATTTAAAGTTAAGCCAAGTACCAACTGTTTTACATAATTATTATTTCCCAGTCTTCATTCAACTGTGGATTTTATTTAATGTTAAATTCTCCTCTGCCTACAATTTGTCAGACTGTATGATTTTCTTCAGAGCCAGTCAGCAGCCTACTCAAGTTGTAAAGGATAAGAATGCCTATATTCTTAGAAGATGTTGGTTTTAAAAGATTTTTGGGTTCCTCTGTGTCACCTTGAGTACATGGGCATTTTGATTTTGCCCATAAATGTCTATAAAGAGAAGACAGAATACTAGGTTCCTTCATTTAGTAGTCTAACAAATGTTTAAGGAGACCGAGTCTGTGGCAGACACCATCCTGGTCTTTCTAAAGAACTGAAGGAGCCACGTTCACATGGAAAGTCTTTGTGTGAACTTGGGGCACATCGTAGCAAATGTGGATAGCTGTTTACATTTATATAACTAATTATTTCTATACCTAAATTATTTTAGACCAAGAAATTCAACGTCTGAAAATGGGGATGGAAACTTTGCTGCTTGCCAATGAAGATAAGGTAAAATGCTCATTGGGTAGCCCTGTCTTTTCCCTGGTTACATCCCTGGCTCTGTTTGGTCCCTGCTGGTCTCTGATATTCTGTGCAGGGCCATGCTCATTATGCCACTGACATATGGATATGTCAGGAGAATGACTTATGCCCCCTAAAGACTTGGCCTCAGCCACCTGTTTTTGGCCTTGGTAACTGGAAAGTTTATCTAAATTGAATCTCCTAAAGGCAGATTAGAGCCCTCCCTGTTCATGCTGTTTTGGGGGAAAAAATACTGCTGTGATCACTGCCAATATCCTAGCTCCTGCTGAAACCCCTAGTGAAACAGTCCACCAGTCTCCCATGTGCATGATCTGACAATAGAACCATCATAGAGATGCTTGGCAGCATGCAGTGCCTCAGTTTACCCTGCCATCTTATATCCTTCACAACTAATTTCAGCACAGTCATAAAATAGCCACCTCTATAAATAAAGAGTACCTGGCTGGTATAAACATCATCTCTGAGGAGCACAACCCTGCATTTTACAGATGAGGAAACAGACTCAAAGTGCTTAAGTAATGTGGCCCAAGGTCAGGTAACTAGTAAATAGCACAGCTAGCTTTCACATCCACGTTTGTCTAGGACCTGTGTGGTCTCCCAAGCCCTTTTCACGGCCTTTGCCTTGAAAGAAATGATCTTCTCTGGGAATTTCCTCTGTAGTATGAGGTATCTCAGACTCCTATGGAACAAATGAGTATATTGGGATAAATATGACTGCTTTATTTTAGTCATCTTTTGTGTAGCTCCAGAGGGCAACACTAGGACCAGAAGGCAGATTTCAAGGGCCACTTTAGGAAGGTAGGGAGACAGTGAGCATCATGCTTCTGAAAATGTTTAAGCCCTGTGAAGGGTGTCACAGGTAGTTATTGTTGACTCACAGCCTTCAGGTAAAGCTGTGAATGCCTGCAGATGCCTATGAAGCTAACCACTGAAATCCCAGCTCTGTGGAATGGGGCCTGGACACACTTTTCCTTTGATTCCACAGGGGTGTTTCTTCTCCTTGTGCCCAGAACATAGCCTGGGTCCCAAGATGAAATCATGTGAGATGTCGGCATAGAATTAATCTAAATCTCTGTTTGCATTGTGGCAGGACCGTCGGATAGAGGAGCTTACGGGGCTGTTAAACCAGTATCGGAAAGTAAAGGAGATTGTGATGGTCACTCAAGGTAAGAGCAAAGACCATCCTACTGTGGTCGCTGAAAGATACTCCACCAGCTACGTTAAATCCAGGGGCAGTCCTGCTAGCAGCGGTTTCACCTGTATTTCAGAGAAGACTCCCTACTGGAGAATAGAGCTGTTTAGACTTTCCTGCATGGTAAGAAATTAGCAGTTGTTGATTTCCAGAAATGTTAGCAAATGGAAGTCAGCTCAGGACCTTCAGGGACTATCCAGATCACCAAGAATATAAAGCCTGTGGATTCTCCACCATTGGAGGGTCTCTTATGCATCTTCCCAGGACGAAACCTTAGAAGCAGCAAGTACAGTTAAACTTGGGTCAAAAATCAACTCAGTGCCGTCACTGGGGATTAGAGCTTTTCCGCCTCCTAGAAAATCTGGAGCTCTGCAGCTGACTCAGAGGGCCCTCTGGGAGCCTTCCTTGAGTTGTTGGGCCTGAGTTGCTGTAGGAAGTCACAGGACAGAGAGAGCTGCTGTGTTTAATATTTGCTGCTCTGACTGAATGCAACATGCAAGCAGCCTCAGTGTTCTTATGGGCATAGTGGTGCATGTGCCAGGCTGCCTTCACTGTTCATGCCATTGGCCTGGGTTCCCATCACAGATCCTGAGGAAGTGGCTGTTGTTTCACAGCACAGGGCTGCTCTGAAGGATATTTAGGAACCTCTGATTCTGGCTGAGCTTCTGCCACTTCTTGGGAAGAAGCCAAGCCTCTGCCAGGATGCAGCTGACTGGTCACTGACCAGGACCTCTGCCAGCCCTCACACAC